CTCGACAGCCCCTCAACCGTGTGATGGCATCCATACCAATCCCGGGCCGGTTGTACGGCATAAACACTTGGAGTGACTGTAAGTCCTTCAGAAGGGAAATGTCTGCAAACAGTTGATTCGTTTGAGTTTCAGTGAATGGATATTCAAATATCTCTAACTCCAGTTTTTGGAGACTCTGGAAGTGTTGTGCGATTCGTGGCATACAATTGGAGTCAAAGAACCGTACGGTTAGCTCCCGCAGATGTTGCGGTCGATTGGCAGCCAAGCCTTCTATCGAATCCTCATTGAATAGGCGACTATTGGTTTGAATGGATCTAATGTGTGGACTCATCCATCGGAATACTGTTCCCGAGTACTCATCAGTCTCTTCGGGGAACGGATTTTCCAGACGAAAGACCTCAAGATTTGTCAACTGTTTCAACAATACTTCAACAGTCTTCTGCTCGATGTATACAATTGTTGCCTCCATTTGCAGTGCTTTGAGGTTTGGATACTTCTGGCAAAGACGCTGTACTTCCCATTCACTGACATAAAACTGATGTCCTACGAGCGATAGGTGTTGCAAATCTCGGTCACAACTGTCCACAATTGTATGCAACAAATTGTACTTTTCTTTGTGAGACAGGAGGTCGACGTACAGACGACTCAAATGCGGCAATTTGTTCACAATTTGTGTCATCACTGGTCGAGTGGCCCGTCGACCGGCCGGCCGTCTCATGAAATCTCGCAAATTGATGGCACAGTAATGGGAATCTGGTTTGTAATCAATAAGGTCTTCAGTGAAGTAGTCTTTCCAATCCATACGTCTATCCAGATGTGTCAATAGAACAGTGGTTTTGGTGCCAAAGATATCTTCGATGACAACTCGGAAGCGCGTGGACACCATCTGAGCCATGAGTTGACTCTTGAAGTCCATTCTGTCCAATATATTCCTCAACAACTCGTTCGGCAGTTCACTAATATATGTCTGAAATCCATGTCCGGGCGGAACCGATGACTGCGAGTTGTGTCCACTCGTTGGCTTTTGTTTTATTCGTTTCTTAGATTTCTTTGCCATTTGTTGTCCACACAAATCACTTCTACTTTTACAGTCTTTATGTAAATTCCCTTTAAATCTATTCGTTTGTTAACTGCTTTCGAGACGTTATATAGAAATTCAAATTTATTTCATTATTAGAGCGCAAACTAAACAATATTTTATAAAACGTTTTAATTAATGATTATTTTATATGACAATCTGTAACATTGATTGAATTTAACTAAATGTATTTTATATAAACTAAAATGTAATCCAAATAAAAACAATTAAAAAACTCATTGAATATCTGTAACTATTGGTCATTGACTGCAAGTTTATAATACAAATAAAATCCATCACTTCGTTGACCACAACTTCAAACCCAAACCCTTAATCCGGTTCAGACTTCACACACGACGCCAACCGCTTCAATAAGAACTCGTTTTTGTGGCGTTCAGTCTTCAGATACTTCTGAAGCCGTTGGTGATCACCATTGAGTGACTCAATACAAGCGATTGCCCGGCTGGTTCAGACTTCACACACGACGCCAACCGCTTCAATAAGAACTCGTTTTTGTGGCGTTCAGTCTTCAGATACTTCTGAAGCCGTTGGTGATCACCATTGAGTGACTCAATACAAGCGATTGCCCGGCAAAGTGTCCTTATATTGGGTGACTTGTCGTCCTTCTTGTGGCACTCTTTCGGTAACTCATTCCTCAGTAAACCAAATGAAGCCGTTGGTGATCACCATTGAGTGACTCAATACAAGCGATTGCCCGGCAAAGTGTCCTTATATTGGGTGACTTGTCGTCCTTCTTGTGGCACTCTTTCGGTAACTCATTCCTCAGTAAACCAAATGATTGGCGCAAATGAGCTCTTCGTTGACGCTCTGTTCGGTTGTGAACTTCTGAAGCCCTGGACGCCGACGGCTTCGGCACCTGTTTGAGGATCGACTTAGGCTTCAGTTCTGTGACCCCTGAATGCCAGCGCTTAGACCCCGACGACTTCGATGGTTCCGCTTTAGGCACCTCTTGAGGAGGTATCTCCACACCACTGGACACTGCAATTGACTGCTGTGTGGCTGAGATATTATCCGCGAATAGAGGTTTGGGTCTTATCTTCTTACTGCGCTTCCGATGGCAATGAGTGTAAGTGTGGTACTTGTGATCCAGGATACTGGTGGACGTGTCCGTGGCGTTAGGGCCGGGCTGTCCGTTATGTTCAGCCATTTTATGTGCGAACAAAGTGGTGACGCTTTGGAACCGCTCTCCACATCCGTTAAGACCGCATTTGAACGGTTTTGCAGACGATGTGGTGGACAATAGACTCGCTGGCGAAGAAGTGGTCGATAATGGTTTGAGTGGTTCACTGACTGTTGTCTCGTTTATGGTTAAGAGGTTTGAAATGTTTTGCGACTTTTGTATCAATATCTCTGTAATTAGTTTGGGATCTGAACTCTTGAGGTGATCTTTTCGAGTCTTAAGCTTTTCAGTGGGAATCACGTGATATTGTGCCCAATGGCTAATCAACTCGTTATCGGTGTTCAGCTGTTGTTTGCATTCACGACAAACATATTTCTTTAAAATATGCGCGCATTTCATGTGAATGGCTAACTCGGAGGTCGTGTCAAAGAGTTGACCACATTTTCGACACAGCAAGTGGTCCACCAATTCTTCATTAGCCATAGACTTTGTTGTCTTCATGTGTTCGGCGTTCATATGTCTCCGCAACAGATCCTGAGTCATGAATACCTGTTCGCACTCAAGACATTCAAAACTGACGGACATGGCGTGTGTGTCACTCATATGTCTGTCCAACTGATCCGTAGTCATGAAGAGTTGTCCGCATTCATGACACTCAACACCAGTAGACTTGTGAACGACAGTCACTTGTGTCACATTCCTGTCCATCATATGACCCGTCCTTTTGTCCATCAAATAGGTTTCGTGGGATACGATCGCTTTTGGACCCACTCTTGAGCTACTATTCGTGGCCACAGAGCGACGGCTGTCCACCACTGGCTGTCTGTCCACTGATAGCCTATCCTTAACTATAGTTGCATTCACTTCATGGCCATTCACACCAATCGCTGACAATATATTAAATCATAAGTAAAAAGCGATTAATTAATTAAAATGTAAGCAAATTATAGGACTTAGTGGTGAAAGTGGACTCACGTGAAATATGTGCTTGCTCAATGCATTGGACATCATTTTCAATGACAAGCAACTCGTGAATTAATTGGCGATTTGTATGGCATTTGCAGTTTTGGGCCAAAACTTTGCATTTGTCTCGCATTTGATCCAACATTTGGCATAATTTGGACACAAATTGTAATTCACTTAAAAGTCTGCGATTTTCTGCACTCAACTCATCCAATAGATCGTTGACCAGTAGTTCACACATTGCATGCATTTAATGATCATTTATCCCAACATTTCATTTAAATTTAATTGTATTTAATGAATGATACTTGTTAGAAGATTACCCCGGTTATTTACAAATAAATGTAAACAAACCTTCATAAACAACTCATTCACACAAAGTATGTCATAAAAACGTGCCATTCATTGGATAATAACTTTTAAAGTTTTAATTTGTAATTCTGTGAAAGTTTTACAGTAAAACCAATAATACATTACTTTTGTTAATTGTGTATTAAATTTATGTGTTTAGTAACCATGCTCATTTAGTTAATCACATCCATGTTTACGGCTTTTATGAAACTTAAGGTGAAAGGTGTAGAGAGTCTATAGTGACAGTCCTTTCAATCGCATCAATACACGACTCCTTTATGTATCAAAACATGTCTTTCAAAACCAACTTCTCTTTCAACCGTTTCCCACATTCAGGCCATAAGCAAACATATGGTCTGTCAGTGCCATCAGCACCGGTAGCTTTCTTAGGGTGACCATGTCTACGTCTGCGATGATTGAGACAGTCATTGAGTTTACATTAAAGTCTTGTTTTGTAAACAATTCACGGATTTTACACACATTTCGGTCCATAAGTTATGTCCGAAAATAAGTTTAAAACTTTTCAATGAAAATACTTTTTTATGAAAACTTTTAGAATAACTAATATTAAAATTGTTATTAATTAACATTAAAATTAATTGATTCAAGGTTGATAGCAGTGAAGGACAAACTTGTAATCAGTGTTATTATTGACACAAAAAACTGCAAACTCTGGCGAAAAACATGTAAAAAACCTGCGAAAAAACTTTATCGCAATGTAAATGAGTATTAAAATAAACTTTTTTAGTCAACTGTTAATATAAATATTTTTAATTATAAGCAAAATGAAGCGATAATTATTCAAAAGAGATAAACCATTATAACGTTAATTACTCGTTGAGTGCTATCGGAATTAGTACCATGAACAAACATTGAATTTATATCAGTTAATTAACAATTGTCTTAAAAATTTAGTATAATTTTGCAAAGAATTTTATAATATTATGAATTCTTAATTAAAAATTATTCTGTACTAAATTCTGTACTATTTGACATAATAGAAAGTAGATACTGTATGAATTAAATTTCTAGAAATTATGGCACACCTTCACTGGATATGACCCGGTATTATAGTACAAGTAATACCATGTCAAATAACACGCTAATAATTGCCATCATTTTCCCCTCAAATTGCAATTCATCGCAAAGTGTTGAGTTTTGTTTATTTTGGCAATTATTATGCTTATTAAATAAATAGATGGGCCACAAGGGGGGCCGACACCTGTCCGAGCCGTCCGGGTAGTCCTTACACGTGTCGTTTAGGTTCTTCATGAAGATGTACGGGAGACGCGACACCTGTTCGGCCTGTTTGGCGTCACACTTGTCTTTCGCAAACTTGACCCAACAGTTCCGCAGATTCCACGTTCCGCAGCATTTCACACGACTGGCCCACTCGCTGTTCTCGTCCACGTCCTCCAAACTCACCCTTCCCTTCTCCTCCGCCTTCTGGTTACAGTACGCGAAGTCCGAGTGGATCACCGCGAAACAGCTCGCCTGTGGTTATGGTCGAACGGTAGGTTTTAGAAAAAACTTATCATACTCTTTCATAAGAAAGTCTTTCAATGAAGTATCGGTTCACTGATAAATTATAATTATTAAAAATCAGTAATAATGTCTTAAAGCCTGACTAAAACTCAAAGAAAATTACATTTTCTTAATACAAAGGATTGAATGCATTCTCAATGAAAACGATTCTAAAAGTGAAAGTATTTTCGCAAATATTTCCGTTTTTCACCCAATTTCCGGTCAATACATACGAGACTCGAATATTCGGCCAACTTTTCAAAGGAGAACAGTTCCGACACTTTGGGCACTTCTTGGGCGCAAACGGCGACCAAAACGACGACGAAAGCGGCGAAAATATACACAAAATTCATGATAAAAAACTCGGTATAAAAATAGTCGTCTTTAACGTTTCATTCATTGATTGTCACACAAAAGTGAAATGCATTTCACATCAACTTTGCTCTCAATTCATCGCTTATCTACGGCTCCGGAGTCTAGACTCTAGTTATCACTAAAAAAGCACTGAAATTATTGCGAGACATCGAAAGACAGAAAATTCAAACAACACTTGAATTAAATGACAGCAAAAACTGCAAACCATTTGTTTAT